CAGGGAGGTGCGCTGCTGGGGAGGTGCGCCGACAGGGAGGTGTGCTGCTGGGGAGGTACACCGACCGGGAGGCGTGCTGCTGGGGAGGTGCACAGTTGCAGAGGTGCACTGTTGGGGAGGTGCGCTGCTGGGGAGGTGCACCGACAGGGAGGTGTGCTGCTGGGGAGGTGCACTGACAGGGAGGTGCTCTGCTGGGGAGGTGCACCGACAGGGAGGCGTGCTGCTGGGGAGGTGCACTGTTGCGGAGGTGCACTGACAGGGAGGTGCTCTGCTGAGGAGGTGCACCGACAGGGCGGTGTGCTGCCGTGGTCAGCCATGTGGGAATCCAGTGCCTTAACCACTATGCCACCTGCTGGCCTGCAAATTTTTTTAAAAAGAGAGAAAAGAACATAGAATAAATAAATAAATGAACAGATTAGCTTAAAAAAAAAAGAAAAGATAAAGGAGACCCGGTGTCCATTTCTCCGTGTCCTGGAAAGTTGACAAGACCCAGATGGCCTTGCCTGTTGACGTTTCGTGCTAAATTTTCCTTCCCACTGCTTCTTGTTTACTTAGACTATGTAGCGCTAGACTTTGCTCTTCCTACAAAATTAAAGACACAACAACGACCGATATCATATCTTCCGAACAGAAGCAATACACTCTGTCATTTTCCTGATCCTGCTCTCACGGGTAACAAGGATGCGCTCGCACCCACCCCCGCTGGCCCGGCTCATTAGCGGCTGTGGAGAAGCCGCCTGAAAACCAGCGCTCGCTGTGCGGAGGGGCACCGGTACCTCCGGAGCCTTGCAGGCCCCGCTTCACCTGCTTCAGCTGAAACCGGAAGAAAATGTAATGATTCTCAACAGAATTTCGTTTTGAAGGGAGGGTGAGACAGAGCAGGGAGGTTCTACTTAGCCACCACCGCCCTGCTTCCTTCTCGGTCACCTCCGTTGGCAGTGATCTGACCCCCTGCTCCCCAAACGGAGCCTCAGTGACATCTGAGTCAGGGTCCCTGCTGCAGGTATCCCACTCTTTGGGTTTGGGGGATGTCGAGTAACCACTTCCTCTCCCAAACCCCAAGTCTCTAACCCGACAGGAGGCAGACTGCCAAGTTCCTTGGGGGGCACCAGATGGAGACTGTCTGGAACCCGATGTCATGAACGGTTTCCTGATGCGTCCCTCGGAGGCCAGCCTGGGGACGAGGCACACAGGCGAGCACTAAGACGCAGCAGGGCCATGCCCGGTGGTGGGCCGGAGGGGCACGTGGGTACTTGTTTCTGGCCAAGGGGAGGCGAGAGTGTGGAGGGCCCTGGAAGGATGAGGCCTGGGGGACTCTCCTCCCTGGGCGTGGGGCAGCAGAGGGCAGAAGGGGCAGAGGAGTCCATCTTCCTAGCCCGCCCTGGGGCCAGAAAGTCCCCCCTGAGCACTCAAGGCCAAACTGGATCAGCCCCTAACGCTCAGAACTTCCAGAAGAGACAGTGGTTGGCACCCCATCCTTCCTGTGAGTCTACGAAGCATGTGTGCTCCCCTTTCCATGGTCCCCAGTGCATGCCAGGGGTCTCTGCAGGGTGTCACAGCCCTTCTGGGAACGAGGGAGGGTACCAGCCACTTCCCTGCATGTCTGCACACGCGAGATCCTGAGGACCCTCCAACGAGGCTCTGGAGCTCTGCTGAAGTGGGGGGTGTCGACAGGACACAGGGCCCTGCATCTCGGAGCTGGCAGAAGCCGCTGCTGGGTACCCTACCATCTAGCCAGCCAACGTAGAAACCCATCTTTGAGGGGCCAGCAAGTGGCATGGAAGCTAAGGTGGCTGGGTCCCACATGGTTGGCTGCACGGTTCAAGGCCTGGACCGGCAGCTTGAAAAGCACACCAGGTGCCTGTGCCTACGTGCCCAAAACCTTGAGAGAGCAGAGAGGGGGACTGTGTGTGGCCATCTTGCCGCGCTCTCTGTTTCTCTCTGATGAGCACATGCACCCTATAGGAAAGCTCAAAAATAAACAATTAAAAGAAAAAAAGAAAATCCCCTCTTCACCACCCGCCGCAAGGCATGTAGACCGCTCCTGGGGCCTGTCCGGGACTGGGCCTCCTCCACTGCGGACTCTGTTCTGTCTGGGCTCCTGGAGGCTGATCTGTCGGCTGTGCTGCCAGGATTGCCACTGAGGCCAGCTGGGCCACTTACCTTGGCGCCACATGCCCCAGAGACATGCAGCCTCACTGTCACCGCACAGCTCTGCCACCCTGGCAGCCGGCGTCACCACCATCCTGGCTCAGGCCGCAGATCCAGATGTCCCCTGGCTCCCCCGGGTGAGGGGAGCCACTTCCTCTTATCCCCGCGCCAGGCCTCAGGATGTTACGTCCCAGCCCTGACCTCTGCAGACTCCGTCACGCTCTCTCGTGTCCTCACAGGTGCTGCCAACACCTCCTTCTCCCGAGTCAGCGGCACAATTAATAACTGCGCCGCTTCCCGGCCTCCCTTGTTTCCTGGGCACAGGACTCCAGGGCCTCCTCTTAGCTCGTCTTCCATCTCTTGATCCTGGGCTCTTGGCGACAGCACGGTGGACACAGGCTTGGGAGTTGCGTTTGCTGTGCCCTGGACTTTGAAATATATGGGTCTGACCTCCTAAACTCATTTCCACTCGAGCTGCAGCCAACAGAACAAACGTATTCCCCGGGGCTCCACGCGCAGCCTTCCGTACGCAGGCAACCTCCAGTAAAGTCTGCGGGAGCTTGCTCTGCACACCACAAACCGGGC